GTCCCGGTAGCTCAATAAAGACACGGAGGCGATGTTTGCGCGTGTCCCGCGCAGACACGGGTGGATGTATAACGGGGTTCGTCCGGGTGTGCACGGACGGGTGCACGGTGTGTACACGGGTGCACGGACACGCGCGTGTGGGGCGGGACGGGCGCGCTCCCGGCGGGTCCCACGACGGCTCCGTGGGATGGCGGCACCCGGGATGATCCCGCGGTCGGGTCCCGCCGCCCCCGGGACACCGGGCAGAGCCTCGCCCGGGCCCCTCCGCGCGTGGGGGGCTCGTCCCACGGCTCAGGCCGCCCGCAGCGGGGCTTCACCGGGCGCGGGGGGTCCCGGGGAGCACCGGGAGACAGGGCTGCCGCCTCCCCGCCCCGCCGCTCGCCCGGGCTCCGCTGCTCGCTTGCCCATGAGCCCCACGAAGAAATCGTGCATGTCCCCTGCGGAGAGACCGGCCGTCAGCGGCACCGGCACCGGCGGCGGCACCGGCACGGGCACCGGGCGGGACTTACGCTTCTGTGGCGCTGCGGGGGGACCTGGAAGAGACCGAAGCGGGTGAGCGGGGACCGGACGGACCGACACCCCCCAAGCCGAGCCCCTCCCGCCCCTCACCGGCGTCCTCCTCCCGCAGCAGCTCCAGCGCGGCGGCGGCGGCGGCGGCGGCGGCCCCGGGGTTGCCGCGGGTGCTCCACGGCAGCGGCTCCGGGAAGGGCATCCCCTGCAGGAGTGAAGCGGGTGAGCGGCGTGGGAAGGGCTCCGAGGGCTCCCGGGATCATCCCGCCGCTCCCCYCTCGACGGCCGTACCTGTGCCGGGGGCGCGGGGCCCGGCGGGGCGGCGGCGGGGGCGCGGCGGGAGAGGGCGAGCGGCAGCGCCAGGACGAGCAGCACCGCCAGCACCGCTCGGTTCTTCATCCTCGGGAGGAGCTGCGGGCGGCGATCAGAGACGGAGCGGCGGGGGCCGGGACTGCCCCGAGCCGGTGACCCCCCGACGGGGCGAGTTTGGGATCGAATCGGGCTCTGGGGAGGGAAATCAGCGAGACCGGAGACGG